CCCCCCTTTCACTTGCTTTGGGGTATTTTCATCTACAACTACCGCTTAAGTCGTCTGTAGTTGGCACTTGGCAGGCTTATAAAATTGTGGGCGACCTTTCCTCTGAGGTATTGTGTTGCACTTTGAGAACCCTTTCTTAAAGCAGACCTTTACACTCAAAAATCCAATTCTACCAATGCATCTCTCTATGTATGATGATTAATAATAACATAGACATGTCAGTGTACAATTATGTGACTTTGAAATACTTACACTTGCAGAGCATTCACTTCCTTTATAAAGGCAAATTTACTTCAGTTTGGCAAAGCAATGCACACTGGGATTGCCTTGTCATAAACAGAGCATTGCTGGGGAATCTCCTCTGTAATCTCATGAGATCTCAGGGAAAGGCATTTTTCTCCCCTGAGATGAGGTGCATGGTCACATGTCCTAGTCACATGTCTAATCGCATGTGCCAGAAATCCAGGAAATAAAAGGAGAGCTAGTAATCTGCCCTTAGTAAACATGGCCACGGTCAGAAGAGTGGGGAAGAAGAGGGAAACAAGGTATGCAAAGAATACAAAGCCGGTAATTATCTAGAAGTATGTGTTTGTAGATTGTCATAAACATTTCTAAAGGTGTGTTTGTTGTTATTTTAAAGATATTGGTAACGGTCCACTTTATTTTGATGCCATTCTATTGTCCCTCTGACTTTTTTGTGTGCCATTACTATTGTTTGCATACAAAAACATGCTTTGTAATGTTTCCTTATTTAAAGGAGAACTATGAGATGAGTGATTTCCACTCACCTCATAGTTCTAGCCGACCTGTGACAATGAGACTGTCACAGGTCGGCTCAGTAGATCGGGAGGTGAGCGAACACATCCGATCTGCCAGCGCTGACTGGTGGAACGGACAGGGGGAGGGGGCGGGTACAGCTGGCTCTGCCTCTAGATAGGCAGAGCCAGCTGTCACTCACGCAGCTGGGCGGATCTCGACATCGATGTCGGGATCCGCTCCGGCTGCGGCGTCTCAGTATACCGCGAGCTGTAGCTCGCGGTATACTGAGCTTAGGGTAACGGGAGGACGCTAGTTTGTGTCCTCCCGTTACCCTAAGGAGAACTATGGGGAAAAACACTGACCCCATGGTTCTCCTTTAAAAGAGATCTGTGACTGTGTTGCACAAGGGTTAAAGTGTACAAAAACCTTAACAATGAACTTCGCTTCTTTTTGTTATATCTGTTTGATCAGTGAAAAATAATACCTGCTGCTGCTGCCAATAATCCATTGCTGTTCTGTGACCTGTGCACTTTTTTGTGTTATCTCAAGCAGTCCTATCACCTCTGCACAGTTTTTTTTACTGTATGCATAGGTGTGCGCCTATCTCCTATCTCCAGTTTGCGAATGAATGGGAAGCCTC